ACGATAAGCCTCACATCTTGTGTCATCAAAGTTATGGAGAGAATGGTATCTGAACGACTGTACGACATGGCCGAGCGGAACGGCTGGTTCTCCTAACTGCAGGCTGGTTTCAGGAAGGGGAGATGTGTGGAAGACCAAATTCTGAGAATTACGCAGAAGATTTCCGATGACTTCCAAAAGAAGGAGAAATCGGTACTCGTCCTCCTCGATTTTTCAAAGGCATACGACACGGTCTGGCGAGAACGCCTACTCCTCACCCTCCTGGACAGAGGTGTCCATGATACATACGTTTTATGGCTGAATGACTTCCTTCAAAATCGTCAAGCCAGAGTCCGATTCAATGGAATACTGAGTAATAGCAGGAAAATGAACCAAGGTCTCCCACAAGGTTCGGTCCTGGCACCCATCCTCTTCCTTTTTTATATCGACGAACTGGCGAAACTACTTCCGGACGATCTCACAATTTCACTCTACGCTGACGACGTCTCTATCCTCGCTTCATCACGCACGACACGAGACGCCGAAAGTCTGGCACAAAGAGCGGTGGACATCGTTGCTGACTGGAGCAGGCGATGGAAACTCACGCTAAACGGCTCAAAGAGCGAGACTACATTCTTCACGCTCGCAACGTCTGACTCGGAATGGAAGCCGTGCATCACGATAAATAATTCGTCAATTAGGTATGAGCCCTACGCAAGACTCCTGAGAGTCACACTCGACCACAGGCTCACGTTCAGGAAACAGGTTGAGACAGTAATAGCTAAGGCCACACAGAAGATGAGGATGCTCGGCGCTGTAGCGCACTCAAAATGGGGATGGAGGAAAGACGACCTACGCAAGGTCTACCTCACTCATATACAAAGTGTTCTCAACTTTGCGAGCAGCAGCTGGCAACCGTGGCTGAGCAAAACTCTGATAAATAATCTGGAGGTGATTCAAAACAGATGTCTGCGACTGATTACCACCCAAGCCCAGTTCTCACCGATCGAGGCACTTCGAGCTGAAACGGGGGTCCCAAGCATTCAGTCCACCTTAATAAATGCTAACTGTCTCCGATCAAGAGAGAAGGCCCTCCGACTGAACAACGACCACCCTCGACGAATTGCGGCAACGGAACAAGTGCACAGACGCCTAAAAGGACGCAGGAATTTCCGAAAAAGGGCCGAAGACGTCAGCAAAAAGAGCCCACATCTGTTCGACTGCGAGAGGAGGCCCATCACTTACTTCGAAACCAGGCCCTGGGAACGTGGAATCAACCCCGACATCACTTTCCCCCACCTGTACGGCATAAGCGGAAGGAGTGACTCCAGTGGGAAGATTCAAAGCGCTTCTGTTCGTCGAGCACGAGAGCTTGGCGCACAGTACAATATCTACACTGACGGCTCGGCTAGGGCAGGAACAACGGACGGCGGCGCTGGAGTCGTCATCACAACGGGGAACCCGTCCAACCCTACGAGACATTGAGGGAGAAAGGCGCCATATTTACGTGCTCTTTCGAGGAAGAAAGGAGAGCCTTGGAAATGGCCATTGACTGGATTGACAAAGAGTGCGATGCATCTAACTCGGTCGCTATCTTCACCGACAGTCAATCACTATGCATGGCACTAGTGGGAACATCACCATCCTTCGACCAAATGCGACTACGCATAAATAATGCAATACCTCAACCCACGATTCAGTGGATCCCTGGTCACCGCGATATCCTCGGCAACGATCTCGCTGACAGTAATACCAAACTGGCAACAGCGCTGCCGGGTCCAGGCCGCCAAATTACTTATGACAGTGCGTGCGCCCAGATAAAACTAATTACAAAAGACCCCCCTATATGCCACACGCGGACGAAGGAAGTATACAGGGCATTTTCCTTAAAACGAGAGGCTCTTATTATGTCCCGCAGTGACCAGTCATTACTGGCAAAAATCAGGACCGGTCATTTCTCTGGGCTTCGAGCCTACAAATATAGAATAGACAAAACATCGGACCCAATATGTCCATTGTGCAGCGAGGAGCCCCAAGATTTGGAGCACTGGCTGCAGAGATGCCCCGCCACGGAGGCCCGGCGGTGGCATCTCTTCGGGGAGGATTCAGGGAGGTTGGACTGCCTCACCCGCTACCCAAGGGAGGCGGTGGCCCTGGTGAAGAGCACACTCTTCGGGGCTCCGAACATTTCGAACGGATAGGCTACCACACACACACACACACACAGCAACAACAACAACAACAACAACAACAACAACAACAACAACAACAACAACAACAACAACAACAATAACGTACCTATGAGCAGCAGAAGGAGCTCCAAGACGAACATGGTCTCCGGTACAACGACAACAAATGGTACGATCGCCTCTTCCTGTCCTCAATTCTCGCAGCTCTATCCAAGGTGACTCGTCTCCCTTGTCCCTGCTGTTATCTTGTTTCCGCCCTCAACAGTTCTTTGGCTCAGTAACGGGGGGAAAACCCCAGTTGTGGCGCAATCTACCAGAGCAAATACACAGGCCTGCGATGTCATGCAGCGTATGGCCAGTAGAGGTGGGCAAAATCCGGATGAATATTCGGATAATCGGATAATTCTCAACGAAACATTTTTCGAATTCAAACTGTTAAACTCTCTTTCCTACCCCGTTTGCCGAAGTGGGTGCATCCATTTGTTGAAATGATTCTTATCCGTTTGTCGAAGTGGTTCTAACCCATTTGCCGAATCGGTTCATAACATATTATTTACCGAAAAGGTGACTAACATTATTATTCGGATTTTGCTAAAGAGACTCATTGCCCAACCCTAATGACCAGATAGATCTATTTTAAGAGCCCAGCAGATAAAGGAGATTGTTAAAAACCGTTTGTAATCAAGATAACCCACCCGATCCGATGGGAAATTCGAATATTAAATAAATAACCTTTACTCGTTAAGTATCTCCTGATTAGTGAATCAGTGTTGGGACCGAAGTAAATACGACGCATATTACGTATTTTTATTTTTTTGGGATACTCCAGACCAGACCATCAATGATTTATTTATAGGTGCTTTGGGATACTCCAATGACCCCAACACACACACACACACACACACACACACACACACACACATACACACACAGACACACAGAATATACACACACATATACACACACAAAAACATTGAAACAAACAGCTCTACCATTCAACCATAGAAAGTATGATCGATTTTTGTATAACAGCATGGGCCGGGAACACAAGACAACAAGATAAAGAAAAACTAAATCGACTAATATGGAAAGCATGTAAAATTTCAACATCTACATTCCCCTATACTTGGATGAATTGTACATAACAGCTTGCACTAAAAAAAAAAATTCCATCTTTTAAGACAACAAACATCCCTTGTTCCCTCAAATAAAAACATCAGTCAGAAGTAAAAGACCTAGGCTTCTGATCTGTAACAAAGAAAGATATAGAAGGTTATTTTTACCATCGTCTATCAAAATGCTTCCATCTTAAGTGTGTGTGTGTATGTGTGTGTGTGTGTGTGTGTGTGTGTGTGTGTGTGTGTGTGTGTGTGTGTGCACGTACACAAAACCAGCCAGGATCTGGACAATAAAGATGTATCTTATCTTACATGCGTATCACCAGGTGGAGATTCCGCCGCACGAGCAGCGTTTTAGCCAGCAAACCGGTCTACTTTGAGACAGTACATGTATAATGTCATTTTTTGTATAGACTCATCCATTATAACTATATAGGCATACGTTATCCCAGAATTATGAGGTTCTACCTCTCAGTACCTAGTTTTGATCAATTTGGTGTTAAAGTTAATTTTTTTAAGTTTAAGCTTTTTCGAATGTAGACTCTAATTCTTTGAATATATTAATTGATCGACTCCGAACAAGCTATATAAAGGTTTTGATAGAACAGATAGAATACTAGGTTTCTGATCTCATGGTCAAGAAACTCAAAACAGCTAAAAATGCAAAATAGAACTTTATAATTCTAAGGTAGCGTAGTATGTGAAGCTGGAACCTGGAGAAGAATCACAGAAATCGATGTACAGAAAAGTGGGAAGACATGGAATAACATCAAGAGGCTAGCCCAGGATAGAGAAAAGTGGAAGGTGTTTGTCCGTGGCCTATACCCTGGTGCAGGGTGAGAAAGGCAATGATGATGATGATGATGATGATGATGATGATGATGATGATGATGATGATGATGTAGTGTGAGTGGTACTGATAACATTTTATGAGCGCACCCCAGGCTCAGCACCTCCGACTTCAGCTCCCGGAGAACTTGTCTTTTCCAGTAATAACACTTAGGCTAGTTTTTCTTCCCACCTCTCTGTAAGAAGGTCTGACTACTGGTTATACACAATGATCGATGGAGCATTTTGAGGCGGTTTTGAAGAGACCAGTGCTACCAGAGTCCAGACTTGTTAGTGTCTTCTCGCAGCAAGTGATCTGGGATTTTGAATGTGAATGCTCGTTACCTTACTCCTTACTAGTACTAGATCTAGAGAATGCAGTGTACAGTGCCAGTACCAATATAAAAATCCACCTTGCCCATTTTAAAAACGGGTTTGAAGAGACTGACCAGTACCAGGGGAGTGTGCTTTATAATTTCAAATCTAGCTTTTGTTGGAGAATGAATAATATTATGTACTGCAATTTTAAACTAAAATTTTCCCATTAGGACAAAGACAGTGAGTCTGAGAAAACGCTGAACGCTGCTTATAAGTTTCGTATTATTATATTATATTATATCTATTTTTTAAAAAGTCTGTTATGTTTCGTGTCAAAATTGGGAATGGCTTTGGTTGAACTTTCCATCAAAATCTTTTCAATGTTACGGAGTACTGAGTCAAATTGATACATGTTTTGTGACAAAATTTGGAATAAAAAATGTGTACTGCTATAATTTTCTATCAAAAGTATTATTGTGCTCAAATTTAAATATAAAATTTATTTGGCCTGCTTTTGTGGCATTTAAAAATCCATACAGGCAACTCCACTGGCAACCATATTTTTAACTTTTCTCGAAAATCGAAAATGGCGGCGCAATTCTAAGTGTGTGCGAATGTTAGACGAATAGAACATAAATCTAGAATCTGACAAGATGTTCAAAAGAAAACAAGATGTCGACAAACATGTGTCGTCCATTCTTTCGAGAAAGAGAGACGAGAAAGAGGTAATTTTTATACATGTACTCGAATCAAAGGGTTTTTAAATGTCACGACAGTGATTGAGTGAGAGATGAGAGTGTGTGTGTTAGTGTTGTCTACTGTAGTAATTTAGTATTTTTAGTGTTGGCACTGGATTCGTAGCCCCAAGATCAAGTCCAAGTACAGTGCAGGGCGCTTTTTCGGTAGTTCCCACCCCCCTTATTTGATAGAGCCTGACCTACATCTAGATCTATATACGTTTGATTCGCGGCAAGCTAAGATGTCAAACCTAACAACTGCAAAACATTAAATTGTGATTGGGGCCAAAACCGGCGAATAACAAATGCGGGGTGGGAACTACCGAAAAAGCGCCCAGTGCAGTGGCAATTGCCGTGGTCATCAGACCATGTGTAAAAGTGAAAGAGCAGTGGGTAAATACAAACACACCACAAAAAAACTTGGTGACTGACTGAAGAAGATGGAAGCAGCTAATCTAGAAAAAGACAAAGTAGAACAGAAACTAAAACTGAAACAGATTCTATCTCAACTGGCTAGGTAGTAGACTCTAATAATAGTTACCCCAAACAAAAAAATGGGTAAGATTGAAGAATACCGGACCAGCAGACTGACTTTGCCTATGTCTCAACCTTAGGCCTTAGGAATTCATGATTTTCCCCAGTTTTTATCTCTCAATGGAGAATCTCGGACCCGGCCGTAGATCTATTCATAAAATTTAGTCAGGGGGGAGACCCCCCTGAACCCCCCCACGTCCTCCACCCGCCCCCACCCACCCCACATTCTCGCACAATAACGTATAGCTATCTACGAGTGGTCCGGTATTCTTCAATCTTCCAAAAAAATGAAATGCCTTGGTCAGTTTCAATGTAACCTGATCTAGATTCTAGATCTAGGGTAGAAGGCCTAGGACTCGAGTCCGAATATGAAAAGATGTTATTCGGACTCTGATTCTTGTCCAGCATGACATCAATGCCGACTTCCTGTGACTCGTGACTCCGGCTTCCTGTCCTGCCTCACTCGTGACTCGCCTCAGGCTGGGTAGAGACCGGGATCACTTCGGGCAAAATGGCGTTAAATTGTGCTGGAGGCATGTTTCTGTGACTCTCTGTACGTAGTTAGACTCAAATCTAGCCTTCTGCTCCTAATCTAGATATATAATCTAGGTCTACAGGCTAGATCTAGAGCCCCCTCACGGCATACCGTCACCTTAGTCTGCCTTAGTGTTTCGTGATGACTATTTCCGGAAGTGAACTTTTGTATTGCCATAACTTCAGCTCTTTCAAAAACATCGACCCAAAATTTTGTTTCGTTGAGAGGCCAGCCTTTCCTTTCGGTGTGGGGTGAAGTTTTTAGTCTGATAGTGTATAAAGAAGGCCCCTAACCGAGACTTGACGCATGTCATGGCATGCACCCCATACCGTCACGTGTCGGGTTTTCTAGGAGTCGGTCACCCCATACCGTCACCCCCTCCCCCCTCATACCAGCACTCTCAAATTGAAGCACAACTAGGTGTTTGAAAAGAGGAAAGAAGCAAAGACGAACTCCTTTTGTACAGTGGGCCTAAGACTGTCGAACTAATGTTTATTGACATACTAAAAAGAACAACCTCCAGAACACTCACATACATCTTACTCACACATAGATACATGCATGAATGTTTCATTTTACTCTTCCACACATATCACAAACTCATATGAACATCTTCCTCACACACAGGTACATGAATGCTTCATTTTACTCTTCCTCACATATCACAACAAACTCACTCGAACATCTTTTACTCACACACATACATGAATACTTCACCTCACTCTTCCTCACGTATCACAACAAACAATGAACATCTTTTACTCCCACACATACATGAATACTTCACTTTACTCTTACTCACATGTATCACAACAAACAATGAACATCTTACTCCCACTCATGGCACACAAACGTACAATGCTTTAGTTCTCTACTTTGACATCTCGCTCAACACAGCACTCTGTCGACCACAACCCCCCTGTTGATACAATCACAACTCAACAACTCACACACGTCACAACCCACCCATCCATCTTTCTCACCCCACCCTCCACAAGTATAACACGGATTCGGATCTCTTGAAACACTCTCATCTGCGGAGCGGTCATCGTCGTAAACCAATCCCAGTGGGTGGTTGGCGGGTGCTCTGGTGTGGTTTGCTTCTTCTTTCCTATCAAACACCTATCGTCCTTATCTCCCCTTCTTCTTTTTGATGTTTGTTACTCTCTTGTAACAGTTCTAATCTTCTGGCGCTCATATGACCTTATGCAGTTGCGAACGCCGTTAAACCTCTGCTAAAAAAAAACCCAATCCCACCTCCTTTTCATCCTCGTCCTCCTCCTCACTCTCTCCTTTTCTTCTCTTTTGCTTCATCATCTTTGCGTGTACTTTCCTCTTCCTTCCCTTACTCCCACTTCATCTCCTTGTTGTTTCTTCTTCTTCCCTGCTCTCTGCTTCTCCAACTTCGTTAACTTTTCTCCTCTTTTCTCTTCTTCCTTCTCCACCCTTTCCTCTCCCTTTCTCTCTTCCTCTTTTCCACTTCTTCCTTTTTCTTCTCTTCTTCCAATTTCTTCACCTCCTCCCATGCTTTGTACTTTGCCCGTAAGACATGTATGTAGGGGTCTTAGCCCGCTTCTCTGTGTTGAAATTAGTTCCAGCTTGCTGGTATGGGCAGGTTAACGAACGAGCAGGGTTGGTGATTTTTTTTATAAAAATAAAAAAAATCGATTTTTAAAATTTAAATCAGATTTTTTTTTTTT